AGATAATGTCATGGACCTGTTACAAACGTTCATCTTATTTATATTTTATTGTTCTTTAATATGGCGCAGCAAATTTTATAGAACATAATAATCATGTTTACGCTAGAAATTTTGATGAGAATTTAAAATTATTCCAAGACGAAGTCTGCATATACCTAACTGCGACAGAAACTGACAAAAAATTAAATTAAATCAACACCTAAGAGGTAAGGTGTGTTAAGTCACGTTTTTTCTTCACCTGTGGATTTACCATATCAAATTCTATCTAGTGGAAAATAGAATTAACTCCCTAGTTGCACCATTTCCCCAGAAGTGACGGAACACTCGGCAAGTTGTAAATTTGGGGTTAATAATGTCACATTAAAAACAAAAAAGTCGAAATAAATTAAACAAACAATTGACTTCTGCAATGACCCCAATGTTTAGTAAATTCGCCGTTTCTTAAAACTTTTGGTTAAAACAATAAAACTTTAAAATGCCTCTCCTGACAAATGTAGATTTGCTGATTTAACACACCTTACCTCTGAGGTGCTGAAATACAAACGGCAACACTAAAAAACCTAATTTGAAAAAATGCTTTAAAATTATACAATATCTACAACTACGTTGGCCAAGCAAAGTGAAAATGTAAAGGCTATATTAGAGATTTTAAAAAATTATTGTGTCCAAAGAACTAATATAATTAAGAGTACTTATTTACAACTTATTTAAGAAAACAGAAGACCCTGGTGAGTCATTTGAAGTATTTTATGAAAATTTAAAACATCTTATTAAGTAGTGCAGCTTTGGAAACCAAGAAGAAAAACTGCTCAAAGTTCAGAGAAAATTATTAAGAGCAGAAATAACATTAAATGATATGACTGGATTAGTAAGAACTACTGAGACAAATATGAAAGTTTTATCGCAAAAAGAATGTAAAATTGATCAAGTCAACAATAACCAGTTCTACAGGGTAAATCCTAAGTTAATAATTTTTTAATTGAAAGTCATTATAATGAACTTCTTTTAAAAAACTCAAAAATAAGAAAGATACACGAATTAAAAATCTTAATCTGTGATTTGTGAAAGAATAGTTAGGCTAAATAGGAAGTCATGTTTTAAGCTTTTTCTTTTCTTTTTTCGGTGTTTCTTATGAATCACGCAGCATTGTGGTATTGTAACTTAGTCACTGCATCGATGTTGTACAGTGAGAATGAACACTATCCTTGTGAGCCCATCCTAGACTCACAACTTTCATTAATTTGGTTCAACGGGCTAGCGATAAGGGTGATTTGCGAGAACATCGTGGAGCACATATATAGGGAGGTTGAAAAGACATAAAGTGCGTTTAAGTAACTTGGAGTTTTTTGAAAAAGTTGTTTATTTTAGTGACCTCTATACACATAGTTAAATGTTAACTTGGGATTCACTCTGTATATTAATGTAAAATATTTATATGAAGTTATGGGAACTTGCAAAGGTTTAAAGGGAAGAAGATGATTCGAGATTATATTTTAGATGTCTGTATCTGTAACGAGTAGAAGGTGGGGTACCCTACGGCACTAAGACCTCATTAGGCCCATTGTGCATCCTCCTAAGATGATAGGCACCTCCTAGCTCGTGAGCCAGCCTACAGATTTAATGTAGTTGACAACGTCGCCAAGAGGTGCTTCTCTTATATCGGCCGGTGGCAGCAGATACTCGCAGAACACAAATCTTCTAATAAATGAGAGCGTCGAGAAATCGTAGATGATATGCTGGATGGTCTTATCTTCTTCACACCCCCTGCAGAGTGCGGATTCTGACAGTCTTATGATATGGAGATGCTTCCATACTTGGCAATGACCAGTCAGAATGCCTGTGACTAGGAGCAGATTCTGTCTAGTCATCGTCAAGTATTTGTTTGCTGCAGTGTTATCAGTATAACCTAAAAGCTCCCTGGCAACTCTGGAGTTTCTTGTTTCTTCCCATCTTTTCTTTAATTAGGCCTGTCACTACCGATTTTGTCAGGCCAATAGAAGGGCCAGGTCCAAAAAGTATTTGGTAGGCTGCTTTCTCAGCCAGCGAATTAGCAAGACGGTTACCTTTCGATGTGGCGTGACCTTTGATCCATCTTAAAGTGACCACATTGTTGATGGATACCTCGGCCAAAGCTTAGTGATATTCTAGTACTAACCCTGAGTAAATTCGTGGTCTATTAAGGGTGAGTAGTGCTTGTCTGCTATCTGTATAGATGAGCATGCTCCTTCCAGTGATATTGTTTCTGTTGATTTTTTGCTGCTATAAGAATCGCCATGAGCTCTGTTTGAACTACACTGGCACTATTGCTCACAGCCCATTTTATGTTTAGGTATAAGGATCTGAAGTATATTGCACATCGTGAGCGTTGTTATGTTTTAAAACCGTCGGTATTTTAGATGTTATATTATGTTGGGAATGGGGTGTTAATACACTGCGACCTAAAATATCTATTGTGTCCCCTTCTGTCGCTAATACAGAAGGAACTGTCCTAATGCCTATAACAACCTTTCTAATCTTAGCTCCTCAAGGAAGTGTAAGATTTGGAGTATCTACTGCTACAAATTCAGTCAGAATGTAAATGGATGTTTTGTCTTCCTACTCACAGAATCTGCACTCACTATCTTCTACTACTCTCAGTTTACATTAAGATAAGACTAGGCATGCTATTATTTTATCATAAAGTTTGTTTTGGTTGTTTGACAGATTTACGTTTATCTAATAATTAATATTTTATTGCTATTTAACAGAACCTATTTGAGATAAATCAACTGTAGAAAAATAATGGTAGAAAATTATATCATAGTGAATTATGTGGCCCTATATTACCATTATTTATCTTATAAGGTAGTAATTAGATGATTATCTTACAGTCGCGTGTAGCCCATTATAAATATTATACCTTAAAAAATAAATATTCACAAAGAAACCGTAAATTTTAATAACATTCGTTCTATTATAATTTTAGATCCTTAAAAATGTATAAGTAGTAAGAGTTCCTATTGTAATGTCCGGCATTCAAATCCCGACTGAGGTTAATTTGTTTAGCTTATTTTATATAATAGTTAAATTAATATTTTAATTATCTTTAGTAGATCGTAGAAAAAATATCCTAAACAACTGTAATAATTGCAATTATTATTATTAAAATATAAAGAATTAGACAAAAAATCTAAACAGTATTAAACGATTTGACTAAATATTCAAATAAAGAAGCCAAACAATTAGGTATTACTCCAGTCAATGGCTTACATTGAACTGAAGAATTATCCAAGGTAATACGTCGATAATTAATCTGTCCAAACTATATAAATTCAATATGAAGTTTATGATATCATAATGCAATAAGTTAAATTATCAATTAAGGCTTTTCTTGATACTATTAGCCATTTTGTAACTATTTTAAATATACTTATGATACTGTTTATTCACTTATTATTATTCTCTCTTCTCCTTCTTCTAAAACCAATTATGAAATATTCCGAACATTTGTGAAGCCTCGGTGTTTCTACTCCTAAGGACTAACAGAGTCTTTAACTAGTTGCCAAAGCCCCTCGCCTACGTTCTTAATGCATAATTTTGTTTTTTTTTTAATTTTATTTTTAATATTTTTATTTACCACTAGTGAATGGATGTCACTTCCAGATTTCAGGATCCTTTGCTGATGACGGTGCTGCCTTCATACCAGTTATTACATCTGTATCTTAGACTCGTTAGTTGTTACACAACTTGAGGGGATCCGTATCACACTCAATAATGGTATCTTGTTTCATCATTTTTTAACCTTATCCTACACTTTGAATTAGGATTTGTTTTTTATGTAACTTACTAAAGTTGTAATACCCCTATTTTATGTCTGTTGATGGCCCTCAGTGGCCGAAACTAGTCGACCTGTTAATAACGCTTGATAAAATTATCTGGTAAATGACTTCAGGGTTTTCTTTCCTAGTTCTTCCAATTAGTCATGGTACCTGGACAAAATCGCAGAAAGTGAAGAGGCTAGTAAGCTTGCCAAAAGGAGCTTAAACATTTAGTATTTATAAGGCTTGAGAATGAAGTTCCATTATAACTTTATAATTTGAAGATAGCCAGAAGAATGGCCTAATGGATTACGTAGGAAACTCAGTCGATAATCAAGCTGACAACTAAAGATCATACTCATCTAAACAAGCACCTGAATAATCTAAAACTATTAGATTGAGCCACTAAAAAGAAGTGGGAACCTAATCTGTATATTCTATTATATACCAGTGACATAATTATATTAAAGCACCTTTCCAGATGATAGTGTCATCCTGGCAATAGGAGAAGATTAAGAAGTTGCAGATACAAAATTAAAGAGCCCTGTTAAAAAATTAGTAATCGAACAAAACGTTGTCAATTTAAGCTAAATTAAATCTGTATACAAACATTTTAAGGAAACAACACATTCTATTTAACAAATATCCAAATACCTTACGTCGGTACTGTCAAATATTTGGTTATATTTCGGATGCAAGGTTACGCTGGAGAGTCCACGTAAAAAATAAAATAGAAGAGCTAGAAATGAAATAAAACAAGATGTATCCTGGCTTGTCAAATTACAATTAATTGCTTCTACATAAACATATACTCAATCCAGTGAAAATATATGGTAGACGTTGGGATGTACTAGTAAGAGCAAAACAATAAATATTTACATAGTCAATACACCTCGGTACTTTGGTTAGAAATAGTTTCTTTCACCAAGACTCGGAGATAAACACCGTTAATACAAACATCGAGAAGTTTATTAAAATTAATCTACTCGGTAACGTTGACACGTTGACACTATCCTACTTTTTGATAGCACTCATTTGAAAAGACTAACGTTGATGCGAAATGGTGTAAAGGGAGAAATATAGTGCAATAAATATACGCGTTAATCTTAGTATAGTTAATGTGGCATCATCTTCTCATTTCGGCCACTTTTATAATTATAATTTATAAAAAGTAATTTTAATAAAAAAATAATAGCATCTTACCTTTCTGTGTTCAGTAGAGAATTTCATAACCATCTCTGAAAGTTGCTGGGCTCTTGGAGTATACAAATTCAGTTTTGTCTGTGGTACATCCAATATTATATTGGTCGGTCTTGGTGCTGTACACATGGAGATCTCAGACATTGGATAAGATTTCAATACTTGAAGACAGCTTTGTTCCCGCTTAGCTAAGTGGATACCCCAATGAGAAACAGCAACAAACTGGATATCAGAAAGCTGTAACAACAATTAAAATTATAAAATTGATATACCATCCTGCCCTTGCCCTATTAGGGTGATTTTCCTGAATTTGGAAAATTTCGACATATAAAATACTTACTTGAGCAGCTCCAGAAACTGGAAAGAGTCTGGAAAAATACAGTGGCCAAGTTCTGGCTAATTCTATAACGTTCCTTTTCACATTTGCCCTATGATTATTGTTATAATTTTCAGCAGTTACTCCATATCCAGAAAGCATATTAACTCCTGCCCGTTTTTCACTTTGAGACAATCTGAAACAAAACAAGAATCATAAAATCTTTACAATTTATGCAAAACTTTTAAAATTTCTAAAAGAAAAAACTGAAAGCTAACCTTATGCAGGGCGTCAATCCATACACATCCATCACCACTTGGCAAAATATCAGATGCATTGTTGTTAGGTGTCCTAAGGGTTCTGATGGAGAAAATACCTCTTTCCTAACCCTTAACAACCATGGGATTCTGTTGTAAGTTACACAAGCTGAAGTACCTAGTGGCAAGAGACTTGATGCAGTTTTGGGTGTAGCTCTTTCTTTTTCTTGCTGGACCGGTTGCGTAGTAATTGGTGATTTGGCCGGTGGAGTATGAATAGGACGCATAAACTCTGGCCAATCATGTACTAAAATTAATATATATATATATATATATATATATATATATATATAGTATAATTATTAGTTATTTAATCGTATTTATTTTTCCTACCTTCATTTCTCTCAGTTTTGTCTGTTAGTTGGGTCGAGCCTGTGGAATGTTTTTTCTCCCTTTCTTGTGCGCTTTTAGACAACATGTGTGTTTTAAATGTTGGCCTTTCTACCGACTCTTGGTCGGATACTTTCCGCAATTTTCTGTTTTTTTCAAACTTTACATCATCTCTGTCCCACATTTCAACCATGTATTTCCCCTCAACAGATGTGTTGGTAGTAGTTTCACCAAGATCCCAACTATCTCGACGACCGTTACTGAAAATATTTTACTAATTACAAAACTATCAACGGTCAAAAAATTAGAAATTAGAAATAAATAAATTTTTACACTTACAGTTGTGCATCCCGCTTGTCCTTCGTCCACTCATGAACATCATCAGTAGTATCCAAAGTCGCATTACTCTGTACATCCCAATTGGTACTGAAGGAATTTCTTTTGGAATTATTTTGGTTCATGAGATTCTGGTGAACTCCAAAAGTATCTCGATCCTGTCTTTGGGACATAAATGATAATTCCCTAGATGGTTCTTGTCCTGAAGCATGATGGGGACGTATTATTGGAGGTGGTGGTGCTGGACCAGATGGTATAGGTGGAAGGGTATTTGGACCAACTGGTGGAGGTGGCGGTCCTGGTTTCCAATTGGAACTTCCCCAACTTTGAGACGTTGGTGATTTTGTACCATTCTATAAAAAGAATAATATAATTGAAGCATTAATTAGTAATGATAATTAAGAACTTACGTTCATTGGAGACTCTGGACTAGATTTTCCGCTATTGTCTCTAGAATCATCCCATCTACCAGTAAGTTGTTGTTCTAGCATCATTTTCCTAGTATCTTCTAATTTATTAACGGTTCTAGTTGGTTTGTCTGTACTACTAGTAGATCTCACGGAGTGGTTAGCGGTAACCATCTCCAACCTCTTCTTCATCTCGGAACTTAATTTTAATTTTCCAACACTACCAGGAGAGGGCCTAGATGCGCCAATTTCAAAAGTTCTTTTGCCATTTAGTTTACTTGTTTTTTCATTTTCTCTTGGAGAAGGTTCGTATTCAATGTCTTCCCATTCAAGTGAAGATTTGTCCTTAATGTAAGCTTGGTTGTTATGACCATTTAGAACTAAGGATTGATCTTTATTAGGGGTAACTTTACGATGATGCTGTCTCAATTTAAAATGCATGAAGTCTTCACCAGTTTCTGGATTATTGCTATCTTTTGGTGGTGGCCATCTCCATTTACCTATCCTTACTGTTTTAGCTCGACCATATGGATCTAAAAATGGCCTTACTTCATTAGGATCAGTAGCTTCCAATGGCGGGGGCATTGGAGGCGGTGGAGGGGGAGGAATACCGTTTTTACTAATAATACTCATATTAGAATCAGAACTAGATTTACGATTTATCGGTGAAATTGATTTTCTGTTATTTCCAGACTTGAAACTAGGCTTTCTATTTTGATTGAAATGGTTTGTTTGGTGTACCTGTGCTTTTACAGTTGTAGTAACACCATCGTTGACATCGCTTGGTAACGGATTCTGTTGAGTTAAAAGCTGTTGAAGGGCTTGATTTTGTGCTATAAGTTGTTGTTGAATCTGCATATTTTGTGCCATAGCAGACTGCAAAAATGCTCGTTGTAGATTGTGTTGAAATGCTGCTAAATCGGTTCCATTTTGTTGTAAATTGCTACCGACACCGTTTATTCCAGGTATATTAAACACAGGCATGAAACCTTCTTGTGTGGGACTTAATAGAGGCATCATGAGGTTTGTTGAGTTTACTAGAGGTGCTGGGATAGTTGGTAAACTGTAACTTGACGTACCAGCATCACCTTGCGTTGCGCCACCTCCTTTAATACTGTCTATTAAATTCATTTTTTCAGTAAGATTCTTAACACTATCATTGATAAAAATTGGCTTAAAAAGATCACTTATATAATCATCTACATTTTCACCATTCTTTGCTTTATTTTGTGCAGTTAAATTCTCTACTTCTTTATCTAATATAGCACTATTCTGGCTTTCTTTTCGGATTCTATCACCTCCACCTTTTATATTGTTAACTATGGTACTAGTTTTGGACATATCAACATCAGTATATTCTAAATTTTCTAAAACTGAGTCTAAAAATTTATCTAGAATTTCGTTGTTAGATTCGATTTCTCCACCTTTAACGCTGGCTGCTATAGACCTAGCATCACTTAATTCATCAAGATTTCCATCTAATACAGGGCTAAAGAGTTCATCTAAAAATTGGTCAACATCTGACGCTTGACTAGGTACCCTGACTCTTCTAACATGGCTGGCTAAACTAGGTGCTTCACTCGTATCAGACATAGCTGAGCTTCTCACTCCTCCAAATTCAGATTTCTCGATGTATGCTTTACTAGAATGAGAACCAGGAGGCGCCTTCTTAGCTGCGTAAGCTGATTTAATATATCTAGGTCCTCCTCTATTTGAAGTACTAACGCTGGATACGTCTGGATATTCAAATTCTTCTTGCTTTGGATGGTAATTTTGATTAGCTATAACCGGTTTTATTAAACTAAGTTGTTCAACTGAATGGTATCTTTCGTTGAGTTTTGACGACTGACTTAATCCCAAATCCACTAATGGGCTGGGTTCAGGCTCGCTCAGTAAATTATCTAAACTTCGCGATCTAACTTTTTCTATATCAAAGTATCTTTCATTAAGAGCTGAACTTCTAGATAGAGCGTCGTGAGATGTTTTTCTGGAAGTTGGTGCATTACTGGTTTGCATTTCTCTTGGAGGTGGTCTAGTATATTCTTGAACTTCTTTGGAAGATTTTCTAGATCCGTTCCTGGAAGAAGGCAACTGAATAGGCGTTGAATGCCTATTTGAACTTTTTCTTTCTCTATTAGTTGGAGGTTCAGGAGGTGGTACTTGAGGTCTTGCTGGTGAATGTGAAGTGTGACTGGTTTCTGGTTCTGCAATGGATTGACGTTTAGAGCCATATTTCAGTTTTGCAGATTTTGGCGCTGGAAACGCTGGTAACAATTCCAATTCAGATACTAGATCAAGAATATAATCTAGACCACTGCCTTCTGTTATTATTGAAGAATCATCCATAACTACCATCCAGCCATCACAATTCGCACCAAGGGAGGATACTGCTAAAGATGCGACCTAAAAATAAAATTTCAATTAAACTATAAACATTTGACATACCAAGAGGACTTACTTCTTCACAAGTTGTCCAAGAATCTACAATTACTGTCGAAATACTTTTGTCCGGGAGAGTTAATGTTAGCGCTGTGTTATACCCTTGCCGAATGCTGCGCCACTCTAACAGAGATGGAGGGTAAATTCTGGCATGTGGCGTTCTTTGAAGCCCTCTTGAAATTTTTCTTTGAAGAGTTTCTTTAATATTTTCGGGAACATGATCACTAACATACTTGAGGAGATACTTATGCAAAGCTGGACTAGGCTGGAAGCAACTCAAACAATGTGCCATAAGCTGGCAAACCTTCTCAGAATTTTCATTTTGATGGATTTGGTTACACAACTGAATCAAAAGTTCATCCCTTAAACCTTTGGAACTCAATCCTTTGTAAACAATATAATCAGCTAATGCCTTTTCTCTAGCACCAGATAGTTGTTGGTCATTGGACCACCGAAGTATGAGTTTAAAAAGAGCTACGGCATCTTGAAAATCTTCGTCTCTAGTAGCAGCTTTGGATAAGAATGGAGCTGTAATAGGTTCTTTTTTCATCCTCATATCTGACCCTTTAAAATATACTGAGGAAAATTTTGAAAATTCGAATTGATCTAAATCTAGAGGTAAAGAAAGAGGCGGAGAGGATCCTGTTACACCTCCTAATACCTTCATTAAACTCTTTTCGGTGTGAGGTGGGGTATAATTCTCTAATTTTGAAAAGATGAAAGCTAGCTCCGCGGGTATATCCAAATGGTTAACACTGATTTTGGAATTGATTTTAGCTGCTTGTTGTTTTTGAGCTTGTACCTGTGCTTGTGCCTGAGCATGTGCTTGAGCCTGTGCCTGAGCTTGTGCCTGAGCATGTGCTTGAGCATGTGCTTGAGCCTGGGCTTGAGCCTGGGCTTGCGCCTGTGCTTGAGCTTGAGCTTGTAACTGGGCTTCTCTAGCTGCTCTTTGTTTAGCTCTTTCTTTAGCTATTTTTTCTGCATCGACTTTTCTTCTATATTCAGCTTTCCTCTTTTCAAACCGTTTCCTTTCCAATCGACCTCTGTACAAAGCTTGTGCTTTGATGACGCCTTTTTTCACGGTTTGATACTTCCTTCGTTGTGTATAGCCCTTCCAATGCTTTTGAATAGTAGTGGCGCTTCTCTTTATTCTTTTGTATCGTTTTCTAACTAAAAAACCTCTTACGTTCTTCTGTATCAATACAGCAGCGCCTCTTAGAGACTCTCCTCTGGTTGATTCTAAACGACGTTCTAGGTTTTCCCGAAGAAATACTCTTGTGGCCCCTAATTGGAAATCGGGACCTTCTACAAATGAATAAAATATAGTTATAAAAAATTATCAAGTAATGGTTTCAAACTTACCAGTGCCTGTTGGTGGCATTTGTTCTAAAATAGATCTGCAAAGATCTCTGTATGGCGCTCCACGGGGTATTCTCCTCAAAAGGTATCTGAAATATTAATAAATATTTTAAAAACTGACAATTTTTAGAGAAGCTATACAAATTAATTGTTTTAAAATAAAATGAACTTTTTTCCTCTTACCTGTATCTGTCCACGAATTGGTGGAACTTCATTCTTGCAGGATATCCGCACTGTCTAATTCTTATAGTATCCAACATTCCGGTGTACCTTAACTGTTCCAGAACAACAGGCATATCAAACCGCATTGGTGCCTTATCATTGTTCGGCTTAACGCATCTTATAAACCAAGGATTACATCTTGACATTGATTCTAGCAGATTGTGGAGGCTGTCACTAAATCTTGCTGCCACTGCAAAAATGTTAAAAATAAATTTAAAATATATAAAAATTCTGCTGCCATGTGAAAAAAGCTGTGTGAATCGTTGGTTTTGCGTTGTCGGTTCAAATTGTCACAAATAAAATTCCTTTTTTCTGAAATATTTTAATGAATTATTTAAATAATAATGAGTAGCTAATTTACGTTATATCATTTGTTAAAATATAATGAATTCTTAGTCTGTCCTTTTCACAAATTTTAATAATATTTTCAGGAGCTGCTTCTGATAAAATAACATTGCAAAATTCTCTATGAATTCTGACTCCATCTAAGGCATGCGTTTGAAGAATTTCGTGGTCTTCAATTTCTTTTATAAATTGGGCTCTTTGTTTTGTACCAGCATTACGGTACCTTTGACGACATATCACATTATATGGCCGAGTCCACAAGTTTGTGTAACTCGGTTCTATACTATCAGAACGTGATAATTTTGGAAAAAACTTGTTGCGCTTTTTCTTCGGTTTTTTTGGTTTAACATCAGATTCCAATTTGGCCAAATCATCCATCGTTTTTATTTTATAGAATTATTGTAAATGTAAAGTGTAAATAGTTAATGTCGAAATGAAAATTGTCATAATGATAATTTATACATTTACATGGAAACCATAAAACTAATTTTTTAGCACTAGTTTTACATTTTCAACAATATTTGTGGCAAATGTTATAGTGTTTCAGAAGTACTAAGACATAGGAAAACCATTTTCATATACTCCTTCAGTCAAGCAACGTTAAAATCACTTAGTTCAATACATATACTCAAAGGAGTTACTCCGAGCTTATGTTGAACTATTTGGAAATCCTAATAAAGTCAAAGCAGAGTAATCTAAGTCCACAGCGGACATAATAGCAATAAAGTAGCTCTTTACTAGCCAGAAGAGGTTGTGCATAGCCAGATCCTTCTGTGGTATCACAACATGCACAAAGCAATGGATCCTAAATAACTCTTAGAAATGGTAATATAACTCGATAGGATAAAGAGAGGCCAGACATTTCTTAAAAATACCATCACAAAACTCACCAAGCGTCTGCTATGCCAAAATAGAAACAATACTATTTAGTTCTATTAACGGGACATTGTATGCATAAAATAAATATGTTCAACATTGACCTGGCAGAACCAACCTATTACATATATATTTTTTTAAGATTTAAGGAGGTACCTGTTGGAGTCCTGGGTTTCATGGTCACAAATCTACCATTGGTACCTCTAGGAAGCGTTCTAGTTTGGATATGATGTAGCAATGGCTTAGCAATAGCACTGATCAAATCATTTTTACTCGATGCTATGAGTTCGATGACGTCAGGTCTTAAGGAATCACGATTCTTTTCCAGGAATCCATCAACTGAGTACCAGACTTGACCAGCATAGTGTCGAATCTAAAATATAATTGTGAGTGTGAGGTTAGTGGTAAAATACAATAAAAGAGATACAAGTCAGTGGTAACATAATATATAAAGTTTATAATTAACCATTAAAGCCAGAAAGAACCAAAATTATAAACAATTAACAATGATATATAAATTCAACAGAAGGTGGCAAAAGCAAACTGTAACTTGGAATAGCGTAGGGAAATAGTAAGAGTAATTTAGGTATAGTGAATAAAACCAAAACTAATATACAAAAACTGCTTAAAACGTAGAAGAGATGACTAAAAGGCATTAATTGGAACGATGGGGAAAATAAAATACAATTACGTATTATAAATAAGAGAGATAATTTTGAGTGGATAGTATACAAAAGTATCGAGAAAAAACTGATAAAATACCAGTTAAAATAGGAGCCAGATAAAATTATTTCATTTTTAATGGAATATATAGGTGGATAAAAGTATGAATGGTAAAATGTTGGAACACAATAATATAAACAAAAAACCAACTACCCTTGATACTTGTTGCTCCAAATTTTGGAGAGCTACAAATGAACATAGAAAATAAAACGAAGATCATGACTGACCGCCAAGATCACACGGTTGGACTAGAAACTGATGTGTAGTTATAAACCAAGGTCACGAAGATCTTATAGCAGCAAAAAAATTACCCAAAACAGTATCACTGGAATGAACATCCTGGACAGACCTCGTATTTACTTAGGGATAGTACTAGAATATCACAAGGCTTTGGCCGAAGTATCCATCAAGAATGTGATCACAACAATGATAGATCAAAGGTCACGACACATCGAGAGATCACCATCTTGCTGATTCATTCTGACAACACCATAGCAAACAAATACTTTACTATGTTTAGATAGAATCACAGGATGTCAAAATTCGCACTCTGCAGGAGGCCAAACAAGAAGATGAGAATATCCAGCACATTCTCTACATTTGCCTGATGCTCTCATTTAGTAGAAGATATGTGGTTGGTGAGTTTTGGCTAACACCGGCCAATATAGAAAGAGAAGCCTGTTAATTTAGAAGAATATACAATGGGCATAATGAAGCCTAAGTGCCGTGGCGAAATACAACCCACACACGTTACAGATGCAGCAGAGAGCCAAGATTCCGGAAATATAGAAGCCCCCATTTCACATCACCACAAATGGAATGAAGCTGTTAGGATGGCATCCAAGTGGATATTACGTTTAGAAACTAATCATTTACGGTTACTACAAATGTAGTTTTTGTGTCTTGCTCCTTAAAACCAGAAATTATCTAGTTGGATGATGAAATGTTGGGTGCTACTGTGTATTGATAAATAAAAAATAGAAAACCTGAAACCAAGTGGCGTGACCAATGGTCGTCAAAGAGAAGAGAGTTGACACGTAAAATTTTTAAAAGATCTTTCAAGTCTCCCTATCTCCCTATCAAGTCTAAAACAAACTTTTATCTATAATTCAGAAAGTTTTAATGCATCAGGCACTGCAAGGCACTGAAGAGGCTTACGCTTACGAGTCCCAAGACTGAGCAATCACGAATACATTCAGGGTTAATATGAAGCCGCAACGGTCGGTTTCTGGCGCGTTCCCTGGCTGAATGCTTCGTGAGCAGGTTGCTACCAGAGTTCGTTGGATGTTTGGGACGTCTGGATATTGAGCAAAACTACCACTATACGTTAATACATTCAGTTTTCAACTTTCACGGAGGGATTTTGGACATTTTGCGTGCTCGTGAATGGGGAAAGTTACCGATCTTAAAAAGATTGAAGGACTAAAATGAAAACAGCTAGCTCAGGATATATGGGGAAAGCATATGACCAAAGTTAGGAGACATACAATTATTGAAGGAGAAGCTAAATGAAAGAATACACAACTAAATTGAATATATGAAAAGAAAAGTGTAAATAAGCAAAATAAGTACAATGGTACAATACCAAATAAATTTAATTGATTTAACCTTAATCAGTTATATTATTATTATTAAATTCGTTAACAGAACTGAGATTTGATTTGAAACTTACTCCAAATTCCCTTCCTCCTACTCTAGGTCTGCAGTAGTTTTCGTTCAAGGCGTGGTTATAATGACATTTTTCCAAAAATGAAGAGTCTGAGGCTTTAGGGAAGTTACTTTCATCGTCTAGAAGATGAAGAATGCCTACTGGCTTTTTACCCAAGAGACTGATAACTGGGGTATTGTCTGTCCATGTTAGATTGGTCCATTCCAATCTTTCTTTAGCATATTCTTGTTGCTCTAAAAAAGTAAATTATGAAATATTGACGTTTCTTTCTCAATAACAATACGTAGATGTAAATAATGCATTTCGTTATTTACTTCCTTAAAATGTTCTATTATATTCTAGATAGAATTTTAAATGTATAACTGTAACAAATTGATTACGTAACAATGGCGGAACTACTAAGAAGTAACAAAGAAATTAAAAAATATGTAAATTATGGGAATAATCCTAATATAATATTACTATTATTGTGAATAAATTATATAATATATAATACTAACATTATAGTTCTATACAGGTTTAGATTGTCATAACTGATAGTTTAGGTACCCACACAAGATGAATATTGAATATAAAGATTTTTTTTTAAATTCATATACCGGGCATTCAAATTAAATTGTTACATTTAAATCCCGCCTTTTATAAAAAAAATGTTTCAGACGAAAGTTTTATAGTTTTTTGGGGAAAAAATTTTGACTAAAATCGCAGCAATATTTTCAAGTAGGTGTTACTTAATAAGTACAAGGCCAATAAAAAAATGTTTCCTTTAGAAGTTACTTATTTTTTTATGAACTGTATATGTAAAAAAATGGTGTTCCAATTTGAAAAAAAAGTTTACCTCGATATGGCTATAAAAAAATGAATTTAGCCAAAATATGTCCCTCAAAAAACTAAAAAACTTTTGTCTGAAACTTTTTTTATAAAATGCATATTTTTGGCGGTATTTAACTGTAACACTTTAATTTGAACACCCGGTATATAGCATATTTCATTAATATTGTATGGTATTGTAAAATTGTAATAAAAATTTATGTTGCCTAACGGTAAAATATATTAAAAAATCGACTTACCCAGTTTAAATACGTGCTTGTTAAAATATAGTTGCAAAGATTCGGAAGCAAAGTTGATACACAACTGCTCAAATGAGTTATCATTGAGATTCTCGAATCCAAAAATGTCCAAAAGAGATATTCGCGCAGCATCATGAAGTCCTCCTTTTTGAACAATGGAATTAATACGCGTTACCAACCTAAAAGAATAATGGTTGATTAAAAAATTGATTACAAAAATTGATGCAATGCGGTGGCAAAATATTTATAAAATTTAAAACTAATCTCTTCCCACTATGCATAAAAATGATTAATTAAAGATAAATTTATATCACATTGTTATATTCTAACTATGGTTTATCCTCTTGTCTTCATTTATGGGACCGACATTTAATTGCTTACGCCCAGCAGAGACAAGTGTACCTACTTTTGTGATGAAACAATGAAGACGTTCTAGTAAAATTATAGCGCTTCTGAAAGTTCTTAAAAATGATGTCCTTATAACAAACCAGACGTGACATTCCTGTTATATCCATGAAAGCCTTTTAACTTCTTGTAGATGTTATTTTATAACGCCCATGAAGTAAAATCGTATTAATAAAATATCTGTGATGTTCTCTTTATTTATGTATCTATTGTACTCTATCTTTTAAATTTTAAATTTTATATGGATAATGTAGTAATTTTATTTATATAATACAAGAGAAGAAATATCTTCTACAGAAAAAGTATGATAACACAATAGTAAAAACTTCGAATGAAATACTGAATACCACCAAACCGAGAGCATGTCATAATATATTTCCATTCGTTGCGTAAATAGCAAACGATCAGCGGTGTCTCTATATATGAAGGTGGGACGGAGCCCTCCTAGACTATTAGGTCTACGGAGTAAAGACTAAATATAGTCGTCTTAAAATTACTGTGCTGACCTGTAGGCGATATTATTGAGAGATAAATTATTATCGTATAAATTTTTGTCACAGGAAGTAATTAAAAAGAAGTACACAAGATGTTTATGTAACTGCTGAAGCAAGTATTGCTGCGTACATGAAACTTCAGTTGTAGATGTTAATGAATAATGATGTTAAAATTTAATCATCTATGGGATATTTAAGTACCGTTTTACCTCACGAAACACGTTACAAAGTGTTTCATGTTTAGTGAGTTGAGAATTTGTAAAATAAAATGAACTAAAAAAGGAAAAAACTGTTTGTAGGTAAACATTTTTTTTTAATTTAAAGTAGCTCCTAGACATTTAATAAAATAATAGATAAACTATAAAACTTGAATAGATCAAAACATTTCTCAAGATATTGCTAGTGATCCCTTTAAATGAATCACTCTGTATGAGCGCTTATGTATCCCTGATGGCTTAAAGGCAATGGAGACTTTGTGCTGCATTGAATTTTATTTCAATCTCACGGAATGTTTTCGGTGGAGAAGATTTACTTTTTGAAGACAATGGTCCACAGTCAGTGCCGGTTTAAGGTACTTTTGCGCCCGGTGCTACTTGTAATCGCCGCCCTATCTATTAATAATTTATACATATTAGATTAATGAATTTGTATATTATTTAAAAAAAAACAACAAAATTACAAAATTCAAAAGTCACAACATCAATAAACCATAATTATTATAATGGTCAGAAACGGCTATAAAACTAGTACACAAATAATAAAATAAAACAAACAAAAATAATAAAATAAAACAAACAAAAATGACAAAAATAAGATCAAAGAAAAATGGAATGAAAACAAAATACCAGTCTAAAACATAAGTTGCCATTCTTGTTTTTTACAATATTATCTTAATAAGTACTATCACTAATACATTAAGGAACTGTTGAAACTAAGTAAAAATAAACTATAAAAATAATAAACCAATAACGAAAAATAATATTACTAATGCCCATATTCTAAAATATTGACATGTGACATAGTAAATAGACAAATAACGAAAAACACATAATCAAACATAGTTCACAGTTCACCTCCCCTTTTTATTACTGATTACTAACAGGCTGAAACTTCATAAGACGAGACGCCCAATTTTTCTCTATGCGAAAATTCTTAATAGTGGTACAGTGCTAATAAAGTACGCAGCGTAAATCATGTCGATTGGGTGATTAGTAATAAAATTTGTAAAAAAAATTTTGACAATCATTCAATTGACACGTTTTACGCTGCGCAATTTATGTTTATTTTCATAACAAATTATTTAACAGTTTCAGAGTTAGAAAAAATACCTATCTTTTCAATTTGTAATTTCAAAACGCTGTAACTTTTTTGCATGCATTTTTGTATATAGGTAAGTTAGTGATAACTGACTAATTTATTATTCCAGAATCTGTGGTATAATTTATGACCTACGTTTTTGTAACACCCTATATTATTGGGAGCATCCCTATTTTGGAAAAGGAAACAGAGTGAAATAATGTGTATTTCGCTTTTCGAATAAGATAGCCGCCTAATAGGACCTTCGAGTAATTTAAACAGTTACATATCTTTGATTAACTTCTTTCTTCATTATTTCAACATTTTAAATATACTTACCAATTAAATAAAACAGAATAGAGAGATTTCGCAAAAGCATCTCTAGCATCTAACGCTTGATCAATCGTCAACGGGGAGTACACTTTCTCGGCCCGAGCCTCTGTTATTCTTGATGTCAAGGCCCTCTGCAATCCTGACGAGGAAATTTGCAAAAGATGACCTGCCCACTTGATCTCTACCTCTGATCCCACTTCAACACCTTCCTGTCCATGTCTAATAAAAAAAGAGGGATTTAAAAATGCGTGGTCGACGTTTATATAAATAAATTAAGTTATAATCAAATTTCCAAGTTAAGAACCTAAGTGAACTGAAAATACGCTTGTGACCAATATTTGTAATGAGAAAATGAAAATTTTTCAAATACATTTACAAAATATCTTTTTGAAAATAGCGTTTTAATAAAAACCTAGTAATATTAATCTTACAAATATACTGCCAGAGATTGCGTTATTCTCAATTTTGTATTATCTTTTTGGATTGACATTCTATTTAAGAGGTTAACCAAAAATTAAATTGTACCTTAATTGTCTCCGGTGGAAATATATATTTCCTAAATGAAGAACTGAAGCTAATATTTTAATAACAACTTCTTGTTCAGCTTCGCCAATCCCCAACACTTGCATGGCTCTTGTCAAAGCATTCCAGTCTGCACCTGATCCTGAGTGTCCTGGTCCACAATCTCCACCTCCTAAAAAAACAAAAAATATATTTCAAAGAATTTTAAAAAGTAAAAATGAATTAATTACTATAAAAGGAAAAATAACACATTAGAGACCAAAATCTCGTTGTGATTGTCCATTACACAATAATTTTGATACAGAATATTTATTGTATTTACTCGCTTCTATAAGTGGTATATACTGCAAGAGGTATTTCTATTTCATATGAATAGAATCCTTAGATATTAAAATGACTTTAAAACTACTATACCACAATAAATAACTATCCTGTTCTATTCAAGATTTATCTTTGCTATTAAATAAGCCTTTTGTAAATAACAATCATATCTAATTATCAATGAGATACATGGATAATAATTGGTCAACTATATTTGATCAAAATTAAACTGTATAGTTGAGATGACTCTTAATTACTTTTTGGCCAACTACAAAAAGAGCTAGACTATATAACAAGCACGCCAAGGTAGTTGGAATGAAAAGGGAGAAAATAACTAGAAAATTTAGAATGACCAAAATCTTACCTTGATTCAAATAAAAATATTTATCCGCATCAATAAGTCCATATTTCTGCTTTTCAGTTTGACTCAATGACCCTAACAGTTCATAAAAAACATGATAGTTCCTCTCTCCAGGAGCTTGTGTAACTATTCTAGACTTTTCTAATAAATATTCAGTCACTTTGGCACCTATAATAGCCCCATGCTTAAAATAAACCTCAAGATATTTTCCAAATCTTGAACTGTTATCGTTTTTAGCCGTTCTAGCGTTACCAAAAGCTTCTAGTAGAGGTGCAGCTTCGAGAATTTGTTCTGTTACTAAGGCTTGACCCCTTGGTGCGGACGGGGCTACTGCTGCAAGATACTGCATGACTAATTTGGTTGATTCTGTTTTTCCTGAACCACTTTCTCCACTAATCACTACAACCTAGAAATTAATTACAATTAACTAATTGTATCTCAAATTGAAGATTATGCTACGTTTGTATGACATTATTATTATTTTTGAACCTTACCTGTGGCGTTGGTAACGCAGAATAAGCAGCGGCTGCTAAAGCAAATAAGTGCGGAGGCAAATCTCCAATCATTCTACCTCTATACCTCTGCGCACTTTCCAATCCGTAGCTTCCATCGAAGTTTCTGTAAGGATTAACAGCTACCAAAATAGAACCTGCGTAAGTGTAGATGAGGTCGTGGTCGTATCGAAGCTTCAAATTCCATAACAAAGCAGCTTCATGAAGGTCGGACAGAGTTATCATATCTTCAACGCCTTTCGTGCCAAGGTCTTGTCGTCTTCGAACTTGTCCTTCTCCTTCTGCCAGAGCAAATGTTTGAGCCTAGAGAATGAAAAATGCTTTATGTAGCTTCTGCCTCAAATATTGTTTAGTTTTTTTATGGAATAATAGTCAAGAAAGTGAACAGTATCGGATGTGCCACTGCCTATGGGACAGAAACTGATAATTTTTAAACGCAGAAAATAGTTTTCAATCTGCAGCTGAAAAATTCAAAAAATGAAATAAAAATAACTCAATTGGTATGGAAACTTGTTAAAAATGAAACCAGTCAGAATAACAAGAATTATATCAGAGTTAGGAAAACACGCTAAGAAACAAAGAGAAAGTTCAAGAAGAAAATGGATAGACCAAATTAAAAAAATTGGAACGGAAAAAGAAAAGACAAAAAATGAGATGAAAAAATTGACAAAAGACAGAAAGGCATTTAAAAAATAGGTACACGAGAATAATAAAGCCTTCTTCGATGCACAAGGAACTCGAGAAAAAGAAAAATAGCTTGTAATTTAAAATAAAAATGATTATAATAAGTGAGGCACAAAATGTTTCTCTAGAGGTGAGTATGAAATGAATCACTGATGTCGAAGCTTAAAGTGACAAATGACAATTCCTCGTTGAATGATATTGATTTAATGAACTGGAGATGTTAATAATTTTTGAAATGAACCTTGGGATCATCATATTATACATATTTATTATACTTGTTTCTCTATAACAATGATAATTTTTGAAATGAACCTTGAGATCATCATATTATACATATTTATTATACTTGTTCCTCTATAACAATAACAGAGAATGTGAATAGTATCTTGATTACACTGATCGCATAATCAAAACCTTTTAGAGGCACGGTACTTAACAGTGCCCAAGACCGATTAGGAATTTTGATACGAGTCAGATACTATTTATTTTCTTTTTAATAGCAATTAGGTTGTTTTTGCAAAATAGGCTGACTTAACAGACCATCCAGTAATTTTTCTTTTATCCATGTGGTATTGATTACGAAAATTTTCACAAAGTATTGAGGCAGAAGGTGATCTTGAAGGATTTAATAACTGACTCTCGGAGAAAATCATTATTTGCTAATTGAAGTATTTTACCCAAAGCTAGCGAATAAAACCATCTACTTTGCAGGGTTTGCCAAAGACATGCAATATGTAGGAAGTCTCACTATCTAGAGGATTATTATACTGCCAGGATACTTCTGAATGTGTGTCTTTAGTTGGCCATGACCGACAAATACTATGGGTGATGTGAGTCATGTATGAATTGGTTCCTACAGACAAGAACCTATTGTAAGCTCCGACGTTATTGATTTATTCGATTACTAACTGAGAACAAACATTTTGTGGTTCTAACGTTATTAGTAGCCATTTTTTATAATTAATAACAAAAGGTTGAGTTCTATTAATTATCATTTGGACCAATCGGCCTCACATTCTTTGTATTAAAAAGAATTGAGAAGGCTGTTGATAATTATATCAAAAAAAGAAAACCTCAAGAAACGGTCGTTTGTGCCTTCTTAGATATAGAAGGAGCATTTGAGAACACGTCACATGAATTTTTTAAAATTGCACTCATGTACAAAGGAGTAGATAGCACTACAACCAGATAGATGGCGCAGCTGCTATTTACGAGAACTGCAAAGATACAGATAGGGCAGGACACCACCTCTATTTGCACAATCAGAGAATGCCCACAAGATGTTCTATCCCCACTAATATGGGAGCTAACCGTAGACGAACGTGTATGAAGAATGACCTGTCAAGGTTATGCCGACGACAAAGTCGTATTTGCTAGAGGCACGTTTGAAAATATCATGTGTACTATAGTTCAAAGTGATGGTTCCGCGTAGTTAGATTTTGTATAAACAACTCCAAAACAAGCCTTTTCGAGAAAAGAAAAACTCAAAATCAAAAACCGCCAATTTAGACGGGATAGATGTAGAATGGAAAAAACAAGTCAAATATCTAGGCCTAACCCTGGATAAGTAAATAAGGCAACATAAGCCCTAATAATATGTAGGAACATTGTGGGTAAAAGATGCGGATTTAACCCGAACACACTGCGATGGATGTTTACCCAGCTAGCACATAACGTTACCAAGCCTTTCGGCGATGTTGTTTTAAGGGAACATAATAACATACCCATACAACGTAATTGCAACGTTAATGAGAAGTTGTTGAGGGAAATCAAAACCTCGCGAAACATCTATTTGTTACTTACGTATTTAACCTGCCTGTTATGATAACACAACGTAATTAAGTAACTTGCTAAAAAAGTTTCCACGAGAAGTACTATGGACTTTCGAACGTAGCCATTCGTTTGTCATAACCAACAAAACATAAAAAAATGTCACTTGTCACTTTTTCTTGTACGTATTTCAGATTTTAAAGAAATTGGAAACTATACGTTTGAATAAGTTTGGTAAGTTGTTTTCTTCTTTTCAATAAATTTTCTAATTTTCTAATTTATTGTTTGTTGTTTTAGATGGCAAAATTTCAATTTCCAAATACAATAAAAAATAAATCATTGTAAACAAGTAGATACAATTAAATGATGAAATATTTATTTTACACGATAATAGGGATCTTATTGATGCCTTAATACTATAGAAGTAACGATATTAAACAATGAAAGTATCGATATTTAGGCACTGAATTACTGAATTACCAATACTATCGCCATAGTGATACTTAGAAGCAAGTATTGTATCGCTATGTGTGTGGTCAGAGATTATAAGGTTTGTTCAAATATTTGTACTGAAATATTTTAGTTTTTGCATGTGGTGAAACTTGGTAATATGATTAAGCGTTACCACTGTTTTTTTGTTATTTAATTATAAGGTAAATGACCAGTTATTGACACTATAACTTGTACCAGGTAGAGTACGAAAAGGTGTCGACTACAGAATATACTTTACTGATGCACTCTTGTTATTAGTTAAGTTCCCTACTCCGTCCTGTTGAATGGGGGTTGCCAGCCGTTTAACAAAAATCTTTTACTTTTTCGTTACTTTGTTACTCAAGACTTATACATATCAATATCTTTAACATAATATCGAACAGTATCGATGCCTCTACCACAAAGTATCTCACATGATACCGGTATTGATACCTTTGACTGATACTCAACCCTACTCCCAATTATAAAAATACAAAAACAGAGAAGTCATATACTGCCATCCTAACAAGAGAAGTCCTATCTGAAAATTTATATTTATTATCTTTTAAACCTTTTTTTGTGTAACTTTTTAACATTTTAGTACCTTTGTTACAAATAAGACATTCCTTTTCAGTATCGAGAAAGATAAAATGTAGACAAATGCACATAAAAAAAACTGCTAATTTTGCAGATAAAACCTTTCTTGCTAGAACAGCAGTATAGAAGTGCTCATGTAGTTCACTAAAGATAAATAACATTTAAATTTGTTACGTTTCAGTAAATTAAGTATTACCATTGCTGGACAGTAGTGACGTTTTGGTGGATAAATACAGCATTTCACTGGATATATATACCTATGCCATTTTGCTGCACAATACCAATTGCTGGACAAACTTTAAAAATGCTTTACAATACAGAAAAATTGCTGTAAGTATGGTCGCCCTAGTGTAATAATATTTTAATCACTAAGAATAAATTTTAAAAATATTGTGTTTTAGGTTTCCTTTGTGCTGGATTATAATTCTAGTAAAAATCTCAGGAATTTTAGAAGCTAAAGTTAATACAGAATTGGTTGAAGAAGAATATATAACATCTGAGATTATTTCTTTTTCTTTCAGAGCAGAATATCATGCTAAAAAACATTGTTCTGTATAAGTTGAACATCCATTATTAAGTATAAAATTTGTAAAAGTCAAAATAAATGTTATTATTTATTTAAAAAAAAACAAAGTAAGTAAAAATCAACTAAAAATAGGTGCAACGATTTAAACGAGCATATTTTTTATTTTCTTTATATATATATATTATTTTCTTAATAATAATTAAACAAGTAAATTTATTATCTACAAAGTTATTTTTACGGAAGAAACTATGTAATTAAGTTCACATATTTATTTGTTTACAGTACACTACTGATATATAAAGTTCTAAATGGTTAAAATATCAAAATAAAATAAAAAAGAAATTAATAAAATTGTCACAGTATAAAAATGAAGTCAATAGTGTAATAAAAGTTGACACTTTAAAAAATGAACCTTTTAATATGTCATAATTTGAAAAATTCTTATTGTAATTGGACATCAGTTGGTCTACAAATAAATTCTGTCCATAGTTAGTTCTATTTACATAAAATAGTTTCATATGCCTAGTAAGTCTGGCAGGAACAAGGAATCTAATAAAGTGTACCAGGCTGTCACTATCAATCAAACCGTTCAATAACTTATACAGGAAAACAAATGATGCTTCTCGACATCTGCATTCCAAACTCTTATAGGTCCCTCTCAAAAATAACATCAAGATCATTTATAGTTTGCTCAAAACTTAGTTCAGAACCTGCAATGACAATCATGCATAATGATATTAGCTGTTTTATTAAACCTTATGACTTTACATTTATCAATATTCAGTTTATATCATATTAAAACTATGATTAGTACCAGTTGTAGGCAAATATCTTTTTTTAGCATCCTACAACTGCCATCTTAATAAAAATCTAGTGACTTTTGAAATATATATCTACCTTATATAAATACACTTTTTACTACTTTTGTACAATCGTGCACCATTTTAGCTACCAGTGAACCTTTGCAATATAGGTACCTTATTATACTCTTTCGTGCAAGCGTTCAGTGTTTTCGATTCTAGTGAACCTTTGAGATATTCCTTATATACCCTTTATTCCAACTTTTGTCCAATTTGTCAGTGTTTTTTTTACCTATATTATTAATACCTACCTCTACTTGTATGATATTGGTTCTTGATTTCAAAAGCTTTTTAATAATAAATTTATACAATTTTTTATTTTGTTTTCTTCAGATTTTACTATATCCCCAATATACTATTTTGAATATAGTGTATCCAAGGATGGACATAACTATACTTGTAAAGATATTTATTTTAAATTGTTCAAAAGGTCTTTTTCATAATTTCTCAACGTTAATCGTATTTATTTAACAAGCAAAAGAAATTATGAAGAAGTACTTTTAAATTTAAAATAAATATTTTTACAAGTATTGTTAAGTCCATCCGTGGACACACTGTATAATGCTGTAGAATGAATTCACATTATAACATCTATAGAAAGTTTCAGAGCAACTTTCAGGGTAAGTACCGTAAAAGTGCTAGTGTGATGTTTTCCGAACTTCACTTTTTAACTTCTGTGAGATGTGCTATAAAAGTCTTGCCGTTGCGGACATTCGGTGGTTGCAGGGATGATAGGGTTACATTAACAGTACATTGCATGCGAGCTTAAAGAGCCTAAAATTGCAGCTTATTAACGTAGATGGGATGTTTTTGTGCTAGCTGGGTAGTGTCGGATTGGGTCTCCAGAGCCTACCAGTTCAGGAGGGCGAAGAGCCCATATATCAATTTTTCTTTTATTCTCCGATCTATTAAAAAGCACACAGATGCTTTTTCCGAGTTTGTTATGTATTACGGGGTTTCTTCGCATTTGATTATTTGTTCTTCTCAAGGGCTCACTGCCTGAATGATGAGGGGTCATTGACTAAACGAGAGCCCACTACCTAGACGAGGGCACACTACCCAAACGAGGGCTACTGCTTGACCAAGGGCCTACCGGTCATTGGACCTGTAGACCGACGGCTTAATCCGACACTGGTTGTATACAGCAATAGTGAGACCCAATCATCATGTACGGGGATGTATCTTGGAGTAACAGGACTAGTTTAGCTACTTCGAGAGCTAATATCTCAAAAATACATAGATTAGCATGTGTTTGCATTACCGGTGCAATAAGAACCTGTCCTGTGGCCGCAGTGGAGGTTGGAGGTAATCTTAAACCTCACCCCCTACATTTAATGATAGAAAACGTGGCAAAAATGACAAGATATAGAATGATCAGGAATGGAGTAATCAAATAAAAGTCTAATAGCTACAGAATCAAAGATCTTTGGAACAGGCTCTAGGACAAAATGAGAAAAAATTACAGTTTTGTGAAAAACTTCAAAACCCACAGATGTAGGCTGCAAGAAAGAATATTCATCCATTCTACTTGCAACCGAAAGACACGGAATTCAGTGGTATGCGGATAATTTGAAAACCGTAGAAGCAACTGGAATATGAGTGTATAGGCCTAGAACTAGGCAATCTGAAAGTAAGTAAATACCCAAGCATCTTCCAGGAGGAAACTCATGCCATTGAGAAGTATATCCAAGTCAACATCGATAGAAAATATCGCAGACAAGACACTATCATCACGTCCAATAGCGAAGCAGCCATCAAGACGCTGTGCTATTAAGGGATCAGCTTATAAATGGTCTGGAAATGTCTAGAAGAACCAAATGAGCTAGCTTACTTGGATCCCGAGTCATAACGTGGTAAAGGATAATGAGATTGCAGATATTCTCGCAAGGGGTTCAAACACCCTTTGTGTGACCTGAGCCTTTTTGTGGTATCAGCAGTAATACACTATTAAGAAAGATTAAAAAATAATTGGGCAGTAGAAGAACCAATAATTGGAACAATCTCTGGGTGGGTGAATATAACCAGGAAAAATCGGTAGTCAGTATCTGCCTGAACAAGATAAGAATTTCTATTGGAAACATGGACCCTTCTAGGCGTTCCGACTCAAAGGACACCTAAGTAATCTGAGAGTAGTAGAAGATAGTGAGTGCATATTCTGTGAGGAAAGACGAACCCTCCATTCATATTCTTACTGCATGTGCAGCACTCCAGAATCCAAGGACCCTAAATAGCAGCATACTAAATAGAAGAGGGCGGTCTACCTCACTTGAAGCCACTCCAAATGCTACAGTCCCTTGAGAAGAAAGGATTGGAAGAGTCGTTACAGCCATCGATACTCTTTCCTCTATGCATTAGCGACAGAAGGGGTCACACTAGTTCTTTTATGTCACAGTGCATTAATATCTCATACCCAACATAACATATATTAATTATAGATATTTAGCAAGATACATATTAAGATAGATATTTACAGAGATTATTTCTACGAGCTGATAACTTTACAGGATGATTTACTACTAATGAAACAACATTAATGTATTTACCTTGCCATTGATGATTGCTTGTACAGTAAGAACGTTGGCGCTCTTGTGACATTCTAGTACTTCTCCAGGAAGCCAATGGCCGACTCCTGGGTCAAACCATATCAAATCTCCGGTATTCCAGTCCATTTTGATTTATCCTAATTTCGGAATAACATGGTTTTCATTTCTGAAACAAATAGAAAAACATTTATTAGTGGTCTATTTAAATAGAAGTAAAAAAAATATTTTAAATCAAAATTACAGGGACTGTTAAAACAAAAGTTTAGATCTTTTGCGCCATCACAAATTGTGCTATACTACTATAATTGTCTTTATACCTTTTGTGATTTTTGATGTATTAAATATTTGTTTTAATAGTGTTGTTTTCATATTTGTAAATTATAATTCGTATTTGCTTATTTTTAATTTATTTCTTAGGATTTACAAAATTATTAAATACAATAAAATTAAAGAGTTAATAAGACTGTGACTGTTGAAAACTAGCAAAGAAGAAAAGATAATGAAGACATGCATTTATTAATGCCTTAAGCTAAAGCTTTATTTAAAACTGACTGAATCATTAGGAAAATAATACCATCCAGCTGTACAATGACATTTGAAGGACGCTACTGCTTCATAGTAATGCATATAAATTGCAGTGTTCTGTAGGCGGTTATTATTACTTAATTCCTATATCACCGCAGGTATCATTATCAAAGAACAGTTATACGGTCGAATGCCTAGTGCTTAAGTCGAAGCCATCTTGAATCTACAATTCAATTAGAAAATGAAATTTTATAGGAATAAAAAAACAGCTTGGCGGATATCCATTTCGATTTGTTTTTATTTTTATAAATGCCGTTAGGTTGAAGATGGAATTCTTCTCAGGAATTCATTGAATTGAAAAAGATGATTTTTATGGTGTATAGATATTTTTTTGCTGTTCTAGCTGAAACTATGTGAAAATAATTAACTAGTACTGTGGAAAGCAGTAATATAGAGAATGTTACTTTGTTAGACATTGTTAGAAATGTGTAACTACTTTTAAAAGTCCAACTAGAATTCTAATAATTATTTAAAAACTAATTGATTAGGGATCAAAAAAAATTATATTTATTACAGAACTAGCCCATCAACGGGTATTTGCAACTATCCACTAGCGATTAGCATACAGTAAATAAAAATACATAGTGAAGGCTTTAAAATTAACTACAATTTTAACATAGTCTACCTAGGAATTATGTAGAAATTAAATACAGATTAACGTTATGATGAAGTTATGGATAAGGTAGTCTGAATTAAATATTTTAAAGAATAATACCAAAACATAAAACAGCTGCACACATTGGAGCTTTAGAAAAATAACAATTAATGACAATAGTAGTTTGTGCAAAAAGAGTGGTCATATCACACGAAGACGAAGTTTGAGCACGATGTAGTAGGCGGAGTGCTCAATCGTCCTAGTGCGATACGGAAAATCCACACGAGTTTTACAGTATATTTTTTCTACAAATTTAAAAATTAATTTTAAAAATAATTTATGATTTAACAAATTTTTAAAATAAAATAAGCTTGCAACAATATTTTAATTAGTTCTCACTCCTCGATTTGAATCCCGGACTCGCATGGGAAATCATTTGCGCTAAATGGACAACTAATTTTTATTTTTTAATACTTATAATTAAATAGGTTTTAGGTAGTTTTATTAAAGTTTATGATTTAGTTGTAAATATAGAGGAATATTTTGTGGAATGCTATTATTCATCGATTCTTCACAAGAATCACTCATTTTTAATTAGATATATTTAATCTCAATAACTAAAAATTACACTGACAATAAGTTCGACAGAAAATTGTCCATTATTTAAAATTAAAAAAAAAAAAAAAATTATTAGCCTAGTGACCAAATATGAACTGTGATTGGTGGATTTCATATCGGTACAGTATTCTTTCTAGACTGAATATGAAATTATATATTCGTTTAGTAGAATGTTATGACCTACTTTTGATAGTGTTAATTGATGATGACCTTATGAAAGGTAACTGTATTAGGTAAAAGCATGTAAGTCAAACGGTTTTTAACTGCAGCAGACCCCAGCAGTCCAGGAGAGCTCCGTCCCGCGTTTATAGATGTAGACACCGATGATCGCTTGCTACATAATTCTCTGTATCTGTAACGTGTGGAGGAAGGGTTACCCCTACAGCACTTAGGCCTCATTAGGCCCATTTTGGAACCTCCTGAGATGATAGGCACTTCCTAGCTCATACAGATTTAATGTAGTTGACAACGTCGCCAAAAGGTGCTTCTCTTACATCGACCGGTATTAGCTAGCCGATACTCTACGAACACAAATGTTCTAATAAATGAGAGCGTCGAGCAATCGTAAAGGATATGCTCGATGGTCTCATCTTCTTGTTCGCATCCTCTGCAGAGTGCGGATTCTGACAACCCCATGATATGGAGATGCTTTTGTACTTGGCAATGACCAGTCAGAATACCTGTGACTAGGCGCAGATTCTGTCTAGTCATAGTTGTTGATGGCCAAAGCTTCGTGACATTCTAGTACTAACCCTGAGTAAATTCGTGGTCTGTTCAGGGTGAGTAATGCTTGTCTGCTATCTGTATAGATGAGCATGTTCCTTCCGGTGATATTGTTTCTGGTTATTTCTTTTACTGCTATGAGAATCCCCATTAGCTCTGTTTTTGAACTACACTGGCACTATTGCTCACAGCTTATTTTATGTTTAGGTCTAAGAGTCTGGAGTATATTCCACATCCTGAGTCTTGTTTTGTTTAAGAACCGTCGGTGTAGATATGAATCGTACCTGCCACTTCCGGCTCTTCTATTTGTTCTACATACTTATGTGGACATGTACTATGCGGTAGAGTTCCATTACAAATGAGGAGTGTTTTGAAAAAACCCATGTCAGTTTTTTCTGAATTATATATTATGACACTTATGGATATATTATAACAAATGTATCTATGTCCTTGCGTAAAAAATATCCGCAAAATCGCTGGTAGTCCAAGCTATTAACGGTTAAAATATCGACTACTCTGCATAAACCCCATACATATCAACAGCAGTTTTTATCAAAAATCACATAAGTTGAATTTAGTGACAACTGGAGTTTATGCAAAGAACGCCTCAATTAGAAGAACACAGCTACGTCATCATTTGGCAAACTAATTAATTGGTTATCGCCGCCTACTGGGGGTTTAGTGGAGTGTTAATATTATAGGAATATTTGAAATATTGTTTTATGTCTAATAATCCAATAATTTTTAATTTATTGATATTATAGATAATATGTTTCCGAAATTCGAAGTAATGGTTATGACGTAGCAGTGTTCTTCTAATTGTAATCGGACCCTACTCACTATTCAGTATTTATTGTAATTTCTTATTTTTACAAGTTGTTAATTAAGAATAATTTATGAATATACTTTTTGTAGAAAAGCTGAATTAAATAAAATGTCTACAATATTCTATATTGGAATGCCTTCTGTTTTAGTATAAAATTTATTGTACAAACGGTACTACTGGTCAAAGAGGCACTATCGAATCTCCTGTCTGTTCATGTGCCTGGACATGACCTTTATTTAGCAGTCAGTATTAATATGGTAAAAGGTCTGCAATTTCCCGTTAACTTTAGACCAACAGGCCATTAATTGCCAATATATTTATTTCTAGACATTAAAGGAAAAATGGACGCCTATTAACTGGATTTGATGGCTAAGTTACTTCGGCCCAACTGTATATTATTATTATTTGCCATTGCCCATTGTATTGAAATCTGGATATCGTATTAAAATATAATAAATTACTGCTAAAACAATACCCATTAAGATTAACAACAAACCACACAATTTAAAAAAAATAAGAGTGTGATGTAGGATCCGAACCGGTCTTTTTTGACTAGCTTTTGAGCCTTTAAATATTTTGAGTATTCGTCGTCAATTTTTAACAAAAAATGTATTAAGTGTAAGGGTTAAAGAAAAGGTCCTTTATTTCTCACAAGTCAATTTAATTGGCGACCGGTTTCGAAGCTGTCACTTCATCATCAGGCACACCTTGACTATTTCCATAAAGGAAGCGCTACATAAAGTTTAACAAAACGAGTTAAAAAAGTCATATGTAATACAATAGTATTTTTTAAAAATATTGTAGGTTAGGTTAAACCGCGAGATGTCTGTTAGTCAAACATAAAGTTTAACAAAACGAGTTAAAAAAGTCATATGTAATACAATAGTATTTTTTAAAAATATTGTAGGTTAGGTTAAACCGCGAGATGTCTGTTAGTCAAACAGACATCTCGCGGTTTAACCTAACCTACAATATTTTTAAAAAATACTATTGTATTACATATGACTTTTTTAACTCGTTTTGTTAAACTTTATGTAGCGCTTCCTTTATGGAAATAGTCAAGGTGTGCCTGATGATGAAGTGGCAGCTTCGAAACCGGTCGCCAATTAAATTGACTTGTGAGAAATAAAGGACCTTTTCTTTAACCCTTACACTTAATCCCTACTACTCACATATGGCTACCCTCACTCCAAAAAAAAAATGTATTAAATAAAGAGACCCAAAATGGTGTACATGCCAAAGATGAGTACATCAGTGTACAAACCAATCATCATATCCTTTCTGAAAAGGAGTTATGAAAACTGTACGACTTTTATCTTTATTCCCGATAGTAGAGTGGTAAACAGCGAACAACCCATTTAATTTATTTTGTACCAACATCTCCTGTCCTTTTACCTGACTGTAGCCTCTGCAGCACCGCCTATTTCTATGAATTGTAAATGTTTGTGCTGCATAGGTAAGCAGGTACGTACCTACATATATAAAATATTAATGGAGTTTTGCAACAACACAAACTATTTGTAAAGGCAAGAATCCTGTTTTCAATGGCTTTCAAGGTCAATTTTGCATTCCATCTGAGACATACAAACGTTCAGATTAGTCACACAATTATCCGGTAATGTAACGTTATTAATAATATGCATGAAGTATTACTTAATACGCAAGAAATAAGCATTAAGACTTCCACGTGTAACGGAGAGAAAGCTTAAAGTAAATAATACTTTTTAAACGTGATACAATAAGTAAAATTATGTTATAATCAAGTACCTATTAATATATTCATATATGAATGTCTACTATCTAAATAATATGGCGATGT